AAAGAACGCACACTAGTATAGCTTCGGTTTTTCGCACTTGGTCTATTCGTGTGCTCATATATGACTGTAGAAGTAGGCCTAGGTAGCTCAATTTTATTGTGATTTTTCAGCTTTGAGTTTTGAGCATAACTACAAGATTTTTTGATTAATGATCTATTAGGTTGATGCCTAATCTAGTATTATAATTTCCGTTACTTCCACCAGCTTCAATAAAATCTTTGGTTTGATACGTAATAGAGAGAGTAAATTTAGCGATTTTTGTAGGTGCTCAAGTTAAAATTAATTGTGGGCATATGGCAACAATATTTGACTAAAGGAAGTACCAAGAAAGTGATTTTTCGATTTTTGGTCACTGAAATTCTAAAGCGTCCGCTAAGATTTAAATAGATATATATATCCGGTGTTGATATGATACTCTATTTGGATGGCAGAAGTTGCTAGTGATTGGATGTCTCTGCTAATAGTCACGAATTTCGGCTTTTTCAAACTGACTAATCAATCTTATATAGAATCGATTTTCTAAACTGTATTAAAAATATTGCATTTAACTTACACATCAAAGAGCAGCTGTTTATTGATTAGTTTCAAAATATAACACTAGCGACCCTACGGGTCGCTAGCAAGTGGGTAGGGGCAGATACAATATAAGGCTTAGTTGTGATTATAAATATTTCTAAATAAGTTTTCTATGCCTTTGCTGAGAACATCTTTGCGAAGCATTCTACAAAAGGAGAACTGTTCGAAGAAGCAATAATCTCCAAAAATCACTCAGCATTTCTCGAAATTCCTGCTGCAACCTCAACAATTTCTATAGAAGATCGTCAAGGAAGTAGAACACCTATCGTTTTGGAAGTAGAAATATCCACTACAATTGTGTACTACAAAAAACACTTTTCTCTCAGAATCAATCCGACAGCAACGAAATCAATCGTCTAAGAACTTTGTCAGAAAATTTTCTAAATTTTCTAATTTTCTAATTTCTTTCGCCAAAGGAATATGAAGCTTACTACATAAGTAGATCCCTCCCCGAAAAGCACACGAGCCACCTAAAGACCGTCAATCATAAGAACTGCATAAACGTACAAAAGTCTGTTCCCCTGCCCGATCAAGTTGCCCTACGTGCCGCTCGAAGACCGTTCAAAATGCCCTACGTGCCGCTTGAAGACCATTTAAAAATTATAAGGACTGCCCCAAACGTACAAAAATCTGTTTTTCTGCCCGATCAAGTTGCCCTACGTGCCGCTTGAAAACCGTTCAAAAATTATAAGAACTGTCCAAAACGTACAAAAATCTGTTCCCCTGCCCGATCAAGTTGCCCTACGTGCCGCTTGAAAACAGTTCAAAAATTATAAGAACTGCCCCAAACGTACAAAAATCTTTTTTCTGCCCGATCAAGTTGCCCTACGTGCCGCTTGAAAACCGTTCAAAAATTATAAGAACTGTCCCAAACGTACAAAAATCTTTTTTCTGCCCGATCAAGTTGCCCTACGTGCCGCTCGAAGACCGTTCAAAATGCCCTACGTGCCGCTTGAAGACCGTTCAAAATGCCCTACGTGCCGCTTGAAGACCTTAAAAATTATAAGGACTGCCCCAAACGTACAAAAATCTGTTCCCCTGCCCGATCAAATTGCCCTACGTGCCGCTCGAAGACCGTTCAAAATGCCCTACGTGCCGCTTGAAGACCATTTAAAAATTATAAGGACTGCCCCAAACGTACAAAAATCTGTTCCCCTGCCCGATCAAGTTGCCCTACGTGCCGCTCGAAGACCGTTCAAAATGCCCTACGTGCCGCTTGAAGACCATTTAAAAATTATAAGGACTGCCCCAAACGTACAAAAATCTGTTTTTCTGCCCGATCAAGTTGCCCTACGTGCCGCTTGAAAACCGTTCAAAAATTATAAGAACTGTCCCAAACGTACAAAAATCTGTTCCCCTGCCCGATCAAGTTGCCCTACGTGCCGCTTACAGACCGATAAAAAATTATAAGAACTGCCCCAAACGTACAAAATGTTTCCCTGCCCGATCGACTTGCCCTACGTGCTGCTTACAGACCGATAGTAACTATTCAAAAAGAAAGTTTGAGCCCTAAGTGCCGCTTGAAGACCGTATATATAAGAAAAAACATCTACGACCCCTAAAAACAGCGAAATCAGGTATTTACAGCGTATTCTGAAATTGCCGTACATGCCATTTTTGGACTTTCAATTCTGAGAACTGCCACGTACAAAAATCTGTTTCCCTGCCCGATGCAATTGCCCTACGTGCCGTTTACACACCGATTCCTAGTTGAAAGCGCAAGCGGTACCCATTAACAAGCAAAAGCAAGGCTGTTATTAGATAAACGTTTCCAAAAGTACCAGCGAGACCAAGTTACTCACGCACTCTCTTGTCTACACGTGGAAGCAAGACGATCCTAAAGTGACTGTTCTTAGTTAGAGCATTTTTACAAGAGTTGGGAGCTTAGATGAATTTAGCTCAAATCACGCTGTTACGCAATTTGGCATCATTTCAAAAGCAACTAATAGAAGTACGACATATTCGGAAGACACATTCTGGGATAACAAGCTCGAAAAAAAAGCAGGTACAAGTATTAACTCACCCGGATGGCGACCCATTCTCAAAATCATTGCGACACTCATTATTGCCTTTCGAAATACGTGTGACCCTCTTACGAAAATATGCTTGGTCACTCGTTTTGAAATTTGGCAGCGTTCCAAAACGCATGCCACTTGGCAGCAATCCAATTCCAAAGATCAGTGTATTTCATCATAATTTTTACGTCTGCGGCCTCCTCGTTTGCCATGATCCAACTATCAGCGGCTTAATGGGTAAACAACGAATTCGTTATATATTACGTAGTGACATCTACGACCCCTAAAAACAGCGAAATCAGGTATTTACAGCGTATTCTGAAATTGCCGTACATGCCATTTTTGGACTTTCAATTCTGAGAACTGCCACGTACAAAAATCTGTTTCCCTGCCCGATGCAATTGCCCTACGTGCCGTTTACACACCGATTCCTAGTTGAAAGCGCAAGCGGTACCCATTAACAAGCAAAAGCAAGGCTGTTATTAGATAAACGTTTCCAAAAGTACCAGCGAGACCAAGTTACTCACGCACTCTCTTGTCTACACGTGGAAGCAAGACGATCCTAAAGTGACTGTTCTTAGTTAGAGCATTTTTACAAGAGTTGGGAGCTTAGATGAATTTAGCTCAAATCACGCTGTTACGCAATTTGGCATCATTTCAAAAGCAACTAATAGAAGTACGACATATTCGGAAGACACATTCTGGGATAACAAGCTCGAAAAAAAAGCAGGTACAAGTATTAACTCACCCGGATGGCGACCCATTCTCAAAATCATTGCGACACTCATTATTGCCTTTCGAAATACGTGTGACCCTCTTACGAAAATATGCTTGGTCACTCGTTTTGAAATTTGGCAGCGTTCCAAAACGCATGCCACTTGGCAGCAATCCAATCCAAAGATCAGTGTATTTCATCATAATTTTTACGTCTGCGCCCTCCTCATTTGCCATGAACCAATAATCCGGCGGAATGATGAGTCAGCACGAATTCGTTATATATTACGTAGTGATTTGACATACACATCAGAGAGCATGCGCTGTGCATTAATTAGTTTTTGAGTAATTTAAAACTATTTTTTTCCATTTTTTGGTTCAAGAATTCTGCATGACCAATAGATCGATTTGACTAGAAATGTCATAGGAAAATATTTTTGGGGTTTGGTATCTTTAGAAAACGTACTTCTATAAGAATCGGAAGGTACTCTATTTATGTAGAAATTTATTAGCAGGGTAAGCGAGGTACAGCGATTTCTCAGGGCGCAAATATGAGAAGATTTCTTATCCTTAATTGAAAAATTCCAAAATCGCAGATTTTTTATTCAATTGCTGTTCGCTAAACAGATAATTTGTTAACCAATCACCAAATTACTCATCTGCAGGTTTATCACACCATAAACAAGGCATTCATTCTCTGACTAGAAGACGCGAGCACGCTTTGGTACGTTTGACCAACAAGTTCATGAATGAGTTCTAACGCGTTTTGATTAATTACTATCAGGAATTCGTGAAAGAACGTGTTTAAGCCAGCGTGGTTCGAGCTCATACGTTCTTTTACGAATTCTAATAGTAAATCAACCAAAACGCGTTATAACTCATTCATAAATTTGTTAATGGAATGTACGCAAAGCGTGCTCGCGTCTCCTAATAGAGAATGAATGATAGAAAATTATTAACTGCGTCTTCGGAAAGCCATGTTGGAACATGTTTGTCCTTTGATGTAAAAAAGTTTTGAATAATAAATAGCATTAGCAAATGTTTTTGATAAAGATTTGAATGTTAAAAGGAAATCGTTTTTGAGCCGATCAATAACATAGGCACAGTAGAAAATATATCGTTTTTGCGCTCAAGTTTATATTTGTATCATGGCTTAAATCATAATAAAAATATTCATTAATACACTTGTAACCTTGGTCAGAATTTTCCTGACTGAGGTAGTGCTTTGTTTTTCGTTGAAAACTTTATGTGCTTATTTGCAGGGGTGAAGACCAGACTCATTCATTTTTTTACTCTTCATATTATGAATAGAGCGTTTTTTGTTGATTATACATTTATCCAAAGGTCTCATTATTACTGCGAACAATGTGTAGGCAAATCTAATTCTAACCGCATAAAAAAGGGTAGATTGAGGTTGCTTTATGTTCCCTTGCACTAGCGCCCACCAGTTATAATATTTTCCTCATCTCAACCTTCTGTCAGGATTTCCATCACGGCACATTCGTCAAAGAAATTAGCGTTAAAGACGGCGCTGGCTAATGGGCTACATCTCTCACCTGAAGGGGTAGTCAAGGCAAAGTGCATCTATCCAGTCTATCTCCGTTCTCGCGCCATCTTATCGCATCTCCGAGGCAAATTGTCGCCATTTATACGTCGATGCCTTCGCTTCAGGACGCGCTCTTATAAAGTGCTTTCAGAGAGCTCTACAGGATAGGGCAGTTCTGTGCGATGGGATGTGCGCCCTCCGGCCCTCGAGACCATGCTCAAAGTCTCGACGAACGATTCGCTGCACCTCCACCTTTGGCCGTAAACATCGGCAGTGGAGTGCGAAGTGGTGACGGTCTACAGCATCACATTATCTTCATTTTTGGTAAGAATTGACTATAACTATTTCCACAACTTTTTTGTCAATATACAAATCCGCGCCAGTCCCTCATCAACTTGTTGAGGGCTTTTTCACTGACAATGAGTACATGATAGGTCCCCGTGATTTCCCATTTTTTTCGTGCAAATGACGCTTCATCACAAAATGTAACGTCTGTAATGACGAAGATACGTTTAATTGCTGAGCTGCTGATTTCAGCTTGCAAAGTTCTCGTTATTTAGTAGTCTTCTTTCTTCTGACCAGCGAAGGATACTTGATCGAAATGACGTTTCCATAAGAGATGTCGACTATTTTATAGAGCATGCAACGCTGATTCCAAATCTGCTTTCATTATTTGCAAAGCGCCCCTGGGAAGGGAGTTATGGGAATTTTTGAAGCAGAAATTTGAACGCGCGGGTACAATGAAATCATTCTGAGATGTAGTCTGTGAGTTCAAAAACACCATGGTCATCGCCAGGGTACTTCATGCAATTGACAACTTCAGTCTAGTAAGATTATTGCTAGTTATTATCACTTTTAAGCGCGGAAAAGTCTTCAACATCTATTTTACCCTACCCAAATCAATGAATTTTTATCTTCAAAGATTCCCATAACTCCCCTCCCAAAAGCGCTTTGCAGATAAAATCAGATTCGAAATCAGCGTTTCACGCTCTATAAGAAGCATACGATTTATATGAAATCGCCACTTTGACTAAGTATCCTTCCCTTGTAAGTGCCCAGATTTCATTAAGCAGCACTTAAAAAATGTTCCATTTCATTTTTTTCATATTTTCTTACAGCTATGCTTTAAAAATAACAACTTTTAACCAGCAAATGTATGAATGCCGAAGTCTGCGACATTTTCACTTCAATATAACGTTGCCTAATGTTTCCAGTCCCAATTCTGTATCTCTGCAATCAATCTGCATTTATTGTTGAATGTAGAGAAACGTGGAAATGGTCAGCGCAATCTCAGATGTCACCTATCCTTTCTCTACGTTTGAAAAAATGCTATCTGACATTGAATATTGTTAATTTTCAAAACATAAGTGATACATATGGAATGCCAACTGCACTTCGTTTCAACTACAAGGCAGTAGATTATAACGCTCGATTCCAACAGTTTGTCTGTAATTTACACTGCACTTTTTACGACGTCCTAATTGCAAATAGAACTTTGATGCTTCAGCTAAACTAATTAACAGTTTTCACCCTTAATATAACTAAAATTCGACTCTTTTCAAAAGGCGAAATCTAGTTTGCGTTTTGGGAATGCGAAAAAAGCACGAAGAACGGAGAAAATGTTGTTGTTATTGTATTATTATTATTGTTAGCAGTAATCCAGAAGTTCGATCTTTGGCTATTAATCTTGACTACTCGGTTTTTTACTCCTTTCAACATGAACTGCTCTAGTTATCAAATTTCAGCCTTGAATATTTTATCGCAAAAATACACAAGCATTCCTACTCGCTCCGCAATTTTGCACAAAAGGTTGCAAGAAGCTGAAACTCTTACGCTACTCCCGAAGTCGGCAAACTATTTCCGCACGAAATGCTGTTTATCTTTACAAAACAGTTTATCAAGCAAATCCCGAGTAGGCAGTGTGATCCGCTCTCAAGAGATTTAACGCGAATAGCTTCCTATTCCTAACCGCGATCTAGAGATCTTTACGCCAGTAGAAGCAACGATCATTTTGTTTGTAAAAATATGAGATTAGTGTCAATGACGACAATAATCTCCAATTGCTCAATCCTCGAAGCCTTAAAAGGATATTAAAGCCTTTGTGTAATTATTAGGTTGTATTAAATAAGTTCGTTTTCACATGCAAATTGGAAGCTCTATAACAATTCACGTAGTGGCTCAGCTGAGACTTTTTTGTGGAAAATAGCGTCAAGACTCTACTTTCAATTAATTAGTAGTTAAATTTTCTGTAACCATATTAGAAGGTCTGTCTACTCTGAATTTAGGCAATCATAGTATCGATGATATTCTCTCAAATGTCTGTTCTTAGATAGCAGAGGATTTATGTATTCAATGAGCTGTAAGTGTTGAAAAACTGCATTAGATAGCTATATATAGCGAAGATAAGAATAGCATAATTCCCTAAGCAACCAATTCTGTCCTGCAATGACGCTCTTCCTGATTAAGCGATTATTGCGCATTCTAAATTACTTATTACTGACGTGAGAGCTCTAATTTGAAAACATCATAACGAGGAATATTCCAGGTGGTCCAGGATCTCAAAAGGGCCTAGTAATCGAGGAACTGATTCATCGATTCGGATTCGTTTCAATCAATGTCGAAGACATAATCTTCAATTATTTGCCGGGTAAAGTCGCCAACACCGTCGAAAGCACTGCGGATATTCAAAAGATGCTCAAGGTGTGTTAAACCTTATTTAATTATAACTGTAGTAGAAATGATATATTATTATAAGAAGTGAAGACTGATAGCCACGCACTTTAGTGACATTTTTGTCGCCATTACACTTTCTTGATACTTTTGACCTTATATGGCATTTGTCACCCTCAAAATTAACATTAGACCTTCTTTTTCTTGGCTCTCCAACAAGACTTTTAGTATTTTGAGTAACGTTTTCTTGCGTAAAACCTTTCAAAACTGAAAAAAAGATGCAAGGATAACAACAAAGCCAGATAGGGATCTAGGGAAAAGGGAGGGGGGGGGGGGGTCTCACTTGTATATGATTGAAGTTAACTACGATCCATAAGAAAATCAAATCTTTGCGATAAAGTCTACCTGACAATGAGTCATAGTATTGCTGCCTCACCCCCTCCCCTCCTTCTTCGAAATTCGAGATTATTGTAACCTGAAGGAGAAAAAAAACCTCCTAGAAAACTTTATCACAGTTATAATTTTCTTCTAGAAAAAGATTTTGGTGCCGCCATTAAGCCAAAGATAGACGAAGCCTGAAATGATAGATCTTTTTCTATTTCACCCAAGATCGGTAGTTATCCTTTTGTGTTCATCTTTGGTCTATTACGCTCGAAGAACTCCATTTCTTTTTGAATGATAATTAGCACGAAAAGCTCAAACGAGATGCTACATTTTTTCTAAGCGGAGGTTTTACGTCATATAGATGTCAGTGATTACCCGATACGCATTAATCCGCCCTTGAAGTTAAATAGAATGAGCGAAGAAATAATGAAACGCTAAAAACTAAATAAACAATATCTGTACTTCAGAGAGATACGGGTACGCTATCGGTCGATTGGATATTTTCGATGGTTAGCGCAAAATTGGGTACTTCAGCTCATCAACGTTTTGTTGTAGGTAAGTCCATAACACTTAAATATTCACGTCATGCTAATTGAGACATAAAAAAATTCTTATAGATATTGTTCCTACCTTAAGTTCCATATCAAGAGCGGATAGCTTCGTTGACACGAATCATGAAAGGTGTTTGGAAAACTTCGAGAGAAGGGTAAGAAGGATTCGCAGTGTTTGTTGGAGGTCCTAGCAAATTGTCTCAAATTTCAGTATCCAGTGATGTTTGGCTTGGAGCTGGACGTCTGCGACGAGGTTGCCATGCTCGATCGAAACGGTAACGTACCGAACAAGGACACGACGGCTAAAAATGTTGTGCAAAATGGCCTCAGTAGGGATATCGACACAGCGGACAGGGGCAAGCTGGAGGTAAGCCTTCGGGTAATTTTGAACTCTAAACAAATGGGCAGAGGAACGAACACCTTAGCTAGGCACCTCCTCCGCGGACTGTGCTAGTCCTTTCACCCCACTGCTGTCATCGTGTTAGGAACAGTAGTCCGCGAAGGCGGTGCCTAATTGAGGTGTTCGTTCCCCTACACCAATCAAATGGCTATTGCAAAATATCTGATTATGTGCGAATAAAGCAAAGATCTTCTCTATAATAAAATATTCATAATGTTTTTGGGTGATAAAGATGTCTTGCGCCACAATATTTAGAATCGTGAGGTTGCTTCAAAAAATCTTTGAAAAGAAGGAACCATGTACTCACTAGTGATGCTGAATGCAAAATTTTTTGGCATAGCAGCGAGGCAAATCATAGAGTAATGAAATTGTATTTTTTAAATCTACTCACAAAGATCAATTGAAAGCCTAAAAAATCTATGTCTATGAGCCTATTATATTATACGTTTAATCTCAATTTTTGTTTCATGATCTAATCTTTCCAACTCCTAGAAATTTGTTCTAATGTCTCTACGAATACTTATGAGTCCCGAATTTTATTATTCGATTTCTCGTATTGTCTTATATACCTGCGATATAGGTGACACATAAAAAACAAGGAATATTTCGTTTTGATGTAAAAAACAATCAACCAAGAACTCCTGTCATGTTCGATACAGTTTAACAATACATAATAGATTAATTTGCAGCAATTCAAGAACTCGAATGAATCATAAAGATTCGTAAAAGCATTCATTCACCAAGATGTACTATAAATTTTTCATGATTTTGGTGAAAGACGTTTTGGATCAATCCAATTCTAAAGTATAGCTAAATTATGATAAATCACGCCAACTACATGTACTTTCATAAATTCGGTTAATTTGTGCAGCATAGATGTTCCGTCTGAAGCACTTGATTTTAGTAGTTTCTATATTTGTAAATTGAGCTCCGCGCAAGCTTGGCTGGCTCAATTTTTCATCCCCCGTTGAAAAGATTTTTGAATTCTAATTCACCTGAACCTTGGACTTCCAAAACTTCAGCTACAAATCTGGACTCTATTGCAATTTATGCAGCTTCAGTCGACATCAAATTAGACTTTGCAAAACTGCGCAAACTACAAATGTTTTTGGGATTCGTGCTGCGAAATCATAGCCAGGGCTCGGCACGAGGTGGCTTACAAGCAAGCTGGGTATCGTTTTTGGGACGAAAAGCAAATGGGGTTTCGTTTTTGTGACCGAAGAGACACGGAAAATTGGCGACGGCGACCCTTTTTTTAGTCGACGTTTCGTTTTTTGGGGGATTTTGGAGAATTTTTCAGGTTTTTAGAGGAAATTTGGTTGAGGGTCAAAGGGGACTTCGTAAAAATTCCCAAAAGTCAAGGGGGACTTCGTTTTTTCCATTTTCATCTAGCCACCTCGTGCCGAGCCCTGATCATAGCTGTCACGTTTTGTGCTCGCATAGGGGAGCAGACTTCAACGATTTTTGGGGGTGCATTCAGCTCACTGGCAATTGCAGCACTGGCACTTACTACAAATAACTGCGAGGAACTTGAAAAACTTTCATGACAGTTCTTATTTGCTTTTTCTTTACTACTGACGTGTCTCGTGACGAACAAACAAACAGCGCGCAATCAGTGTGCAATTCAAAATTGTCACCATCGCATCTGCCTATTCATGGCACTGCCTGTTTCGCAGAAGCTGGGATCATCGCTATTTTCTCTTAGCAAAGCCGCTGTAACCAAGGAGAGCAAGGGATTCAACGGCTCACACACCTCATAGTGACGCAGTTACTGATAGGATTCCGAGCGCTTTCTTTGAAAATATTTTGACGTGCGGGATTTTATCCTGGACGTTCGGCTAGATCCACGTAGCTTGCAAGTAAACAGAAAACCCAACGTCACCATAGTAGCATATAGTACATTCGAGGGTTTGAGGGTTGCAGCGCACTTGAGGGGCGGCAATACTTGCGCGTAAAAAATGGCTATAGAGCGCAGATTCCCATATAATCAGTCTCATGGTCATTTTTAACGCACAAATGTTCGTTAAAAATGGCAGTGTCCGCCGCAGAGAGACACTATATTTACCCTTTGATTCAACTGGATGGGCGGCTGGAAGGCGAGGCTTCGTGATGTAATTAAGGCTAGAGAACGATCATAGAGCAATTTCACGAGAGAGACGCAGACCGCAACGCGGGCGCGAGCGGTCGCCTTCCAGCCAATCTTGCTGAAAGTCAAAAAGTACGTTGTTTATCTAGCGTCACAGATTGAAAGCAACTAAACTTACTTAGAATTAATCAAATTTCAGTGCAAAGAGAAAGTTGATACAACACATTTGCGTTGATGACAACATCTGCACGTAAGAAATGGTCATGGAGCGCTTGTTTCAAATACTAAGCTTCATGGCCAATTTTTTACGCACAGTTGTTATCGGAGCCGCAGGCACTGTATCTATAGTCGACATTTGTGAATAAATATGCGAGCCCGCACACTATGCGCGGCAAGTGACGTACCCTTACCAAAAATTTCTTAGAAAGACGTTTTCTGGCACACCACTCTCTGATTATCCAAGCCAATTGAAACAAAGGAAAAAACAAGAAGAAGTCAAAGGAAATTACAGCTTCTAATCTTAAAAGTCGTCAAGTAGCCTGCATGATGTGCAATACGCAAAATACGTTATTACGACTAACTCAAAGATACGTCCTTTTCCATTCATCACAGATTGCACGAAACCATTTGCGCAAAAACAACCAAACCTTGATGCAATAAAAATCAGGGAAGATTCCATTAATTTCAGAAGCGAATCCATCAGCACCACCTCTGCGCTCGACCGTTCATTCAATATTTTTCAAAAACGAAGCGAATGGTTCGAGTGAGTGTGCCGGAACAAGCACCGAACGTCGTGTCCACGGTGTCGTCAATTCTTTTTGAATTCGGTTTCACAGAGCAGCGAGCACCCGGACGAGTGATCGTATTCGGAACAGGTGAGCACTAGGCAAACTTTTTCCCTTTTTTTGGACAATGAAGCACAACCTATATATTGAATAGTACTTTTTTACTCAACCACGAATAAATAATATCAGAAATACATATCAAAGGTTATGAGCTCACTCAGAAAGTTATAGATATCGGATTAGTAACCTCATACTTGCCAGATGTGCTTCTCAATTCAAGATGATTCAAGAAAATTACCCCCCCCCCCCCCCTCTCTCTCTCTCTCCCCCCCCCCTCCCCCCCCCCCTCCCCCTATAATATTTCGCTCTCTTATTGACAAGTACAGGAGTTGAACTTCCCGAAATTCATGATCATTAATTCAGATGACGATGCGTTCGAAGAGATTGACTTTGACTACTACAGGATGCGAAAAGTTAGACTCAGTGACGTCATCAAAGATCGCAAAGCATCCATGGTAAGCGTTACTGTAAACATCTCAAAATGCCCTTCAGCCTAATATTTTTATGAGACAAATAGTCAAAAAGCACTCTTTTTGAAACATTCAGACGTTGCATAGGCTTTCAAAAAGAGAATTGGAACAAATGCAAAAGCAACATCAGCAAACATTATTGCTTTGACTTCTAAAAATTGATTTTTGGTGGGGATCTTCGTGATAAATAGTGGAGTACCCCGAACTGCATAAAAAACCCAACCTTTGATCTGTGCATGCTGCTCATTCATGCAACTACTATGGTTTCAGGATGCTCAGGTGTTGGCACTCTATCGCTATATAGCAAAAGTTGGTGGAAGTGACGATAATTTTGGCGTTGTGATGGATACGATGAACAATACGGAAATCAATGTGAGTTTCTAAAGTGATTAACTTTTATATAGAACACATAGAACCTTGATAGAACGAATGTAACTAACAAAAGACATACTCAAAAGCTTGATTTCTGGAGTAATGATTGTTCTTCCAGCACAAAAGAACTATACACTTTTACGAGGAGACGTCAGCATACTTGGACGAGTTCATCAAGAACAGGGCAAACAGGCGTCCTGTTATGCGGTGAGTGCATGTACAATAAGCCAAACTATCATCATCATTACAAGTAGCAACTATTTTTTAACGTTTTTTCTCGTGAGGCTGTCTTTGCTTCACATGCCCTACTTGTAGTGATATAATCTTGATTCCTGGTAAATTTTTGAGCAGAAGGTCCAACTAAATTAACAAGCGGCCTGCAAGTTTGTATAACCTTAACTCACAATAAAGCATATAAGCGTGCTTACATTTAGTACATATGTTAGCAATCGGTTAAGCTCCCTCCCCTCCCCCCCCCCCCGTCCTTCATGCACTCGACAGCATCCTAATTCTTAAATCATGTAATTTGTAAAACACAATTGTTTTCGTTTGCAAATAATAGAATTATTTTCCATAAAAACTCGAACTAACTTTGTATCAAAAATTTTCGGGCCTCTGGCGAGAGTTCCTGAGGTAAGAAGTCCATTAAGAATTTGGGAAACATCCGAAAAAAATTTCGCAGGGTGTGTGCTATAAGCGCGCTTCACTCGGAAGAATGTTGGCCAATTAGATTGTTTCTCCCAATTAAAAGAAATTCTACCGCCCCTGGCATTTGATTAAACTAGCTTGACTTTGGAGGGGCGCGGCTTCGTGACCTAATTAAGGCCAGGTAATGGTCAGAGAGCACTCGCGCGAGAGAGACGCGGGTGCGTCGCGGGCGCGAGAGGCCGTAATTGGATCACGAAGCCCCGCCTTTACGAAGCCAAGCCAGTTGAATCAAAGGTTACTTCATCCACTTCAAACATTCCCTTTCACCACCCCTAAACCTGATCTTACTTCAGAGTGCGTCTGAGTCTTAACACCATCACGTCCACCAATCACGACACGCTGCTCTTTCTTGAGCACTTTCCTCGAAATTTAGCGCTGAAAATTGGACTCCTGTTCAACGATGAGGTAAGTGCCAATCCCAATCACATTCACGTTAGCTACAGCATTCCCAATGTTGCTCCAAAAAATGTGCAAAGTTTAGAGACCGCTCACTGCCGATGGCCTAGAGAGCTGACGGCACGGCGCCGCGTCAACGAATGAGACGTTGGCAGTTCCGGAAGATTCATCAAGGCCTGTGCGATCTCCATTGATATTCCGACCAAAACATAACAACAGCAACAGCCATCTCTAGGTGACGCGGTGCATTCGGGGTGATAATCAGCTCTACGGGTGCCTTATGTATATACGAATCTAGCACTTCCGTTCTTTATCGTATTTTCCCATGCAAATCACACAGACATGACATTCCGTTGTGTTTCTGCCTTCTCAGAACTTCCTGATTCTTAGATCTTCCTGATTAGAAAAAAATTAGGCATTTCGGTACTGTAGATTTCCCTTTCGGTAGGAGATTGCCCCAATCCGTGGTGCTACCATTTTTTTCAAAGTTCAAGGCACTGTCCAACCAAACATAGCGTGCTGAGATTTTGATGCTGTATGATAACTGGGCCCATAACAATCACCCAGATTTCGCTGCAAAAGGTGGACTCCGAAGGAAAGATCTCGATTCAGAACGTAGCGGCCAAGATGATTCCGCCAATCAACGTGGGTGTTCTGGAGGTTCTGGAGATGATAAGCCCAAAACTGTGCTCTAATGCTAGGTTTTCCATGGGACACCTCTTATAATGATCATCAGATTTTCGACATTCCTATCTACCCTAAAATACTTTCGGACTGGGTGATTTCAGGCAACCCACACTGATGGGCGCAGTTACCATGGCCGCTTCTACCTTCTAAGCAATTTTCTCGCTTTGAATTTCATCTTTTGCAGCGGGATTTGAATGACTACTAAGCTATGGTCCCCATACAGCAAGAAAAACTCACCACCTTTTAGGTGGACAGTGTCTTTATAAAGCCGTATGTCGTCCTAAACGCACATATATGTTGTTCCTTTTTATCTCCTGATTCGTGGTACCTTTTTTTCCATTTGAAAATTCTCGAGCTTCCATAACACATCAATCGCAAGATTCGGTCGACTCGTGCCTTTGACAACCCTGACCTTCGTACTTCCAAAACGATCTCGCTCATCTCCTCTCAATGTATATTTAGTGTTGTACATATCTAGAGTGATACTATGAACATCACAACTCAAATTATTGATCAATAATTTATAGATAAATATTATCACATTTTAATAAATCAAATCAAAGGATGATAATTCACGGTTATTTGTAGACGATCATGTAACAAGGCTAACGAACAGCAATCTGTCAATTTTAAGCAACTGGAATTACTTGAGAGAAAGGCAGGAGAGGAGAACAGGATAAGGATCAAAGGGAAATTCTTTTTTCTCAAACCAGTAATCTTAGAACCAAACATATATCACAAATACGCAAACACCCCCCAATTTCGTGGATGAATTGATACCACCGTTATGAAGCATAATTTCAGGCCCATAATTTTCAACATCTACCAGGTCGGAAACACAGGCAACAGAGCCTTTGAGAAGAAAGAAGACCTCTCCTCGATGGAAAACAAACAACATGCATGGATAGATTCGCTCTCAAGAATCCAAAAACCGCAAATGGGTCCAAAGAATAACGTAGAGGATGACCATTGTAGAACGCAACTGTGTAACAAGGAACAACGAAGCGCTCCGATTACCGATACCATGCGCGTTGTCCAGCGCTATTGCTGCGAGTCCCGACCTACCACGAGTCAGTCTTCATCGTCCAGATTAAGGTCATCGAGATTTATGTCGTTGCCACCATCCTCAGCATCTCCAAAATCGTCATCTGACCACCGCACTTCACCAGCATCCACAACGACCTGAAGCATCAAACTCACTGCACAAAGACTTTGCAAAATTGAGTAGAGTGAAGAAATTATTATTCGTACAAAACACGCTTGAAAGATGTCAAATACGAGGAGAGCAGAAAGAAGTACCTCAGGCTGTGCTGCTCTTTGAGATGTCGCAGATGGAAGCAAATCTGGACCCCCATGGCGTGGCACGACATCCGGCCGCGGTCGTTCGCTGACAACATCAGGCTCTGCGTGCGCTTGCGGTGGTACTACCACATCTCGCGATAAGCCATCACTGTCGTCATCAGAAAGCTTAAAATGAAGAAAAAGTGAGAAAAGGTGAGAATAACTGCAGCGAAGCAGTGCGATTTGTAAGAAAAAAATTTCCATTTGCGTAACATAAAAGCATATTGGAGCAAGGTAAACACTACCTGTTGTCTTCCATTCTCATGTTCTGGAGATGGCTCCCTGGGAGGTGGTGAAGGCGTGCGTTTTCGAGCCGCTTCTGCGGCTAACGGCGCAGCAACAGCAGCAGCGGCCATAGTGGCAGCGGGGGTAGGACTCAGCTTAGGTTCGGTTGGATGCTTAGGTTCAGCTGAATTCACCGCAGGAGCTGACTTCTTAGACACGCCACGAAGGTGAGCCTGTCCTGCTTCATCAAAAACGACAGCACCTGAAATTTGGACAATGCACGCTCATAACCAATACAGAGACAGTGTGCTGACATTATGAGTGCACCAAATTTACCTGTGCTCATGGCCGTTTCAAGCTCTTCTGGCACATTTCTTTGCGCATTTGTGGGAGCGCGAACAGAGGCTGGAACGGCGAGTTTTGCAAGCTCGCGAATATAGGATTCGGCCTTTTGTGAAGCACCCCACCCAGGAAAGAGATTCTCGTACTTTTCAGGATCAGCCAACGACTCTCCAATCTTCTAAAAAACATAGTTTGAAAAAAGAGTTCTTGGATTTAAAACTAACCCTTGTCGTATTCTTCTGTACTCGGTCTGCTTTCTCCTTCCATAAACCCATAATTCTTTGCAACTGAGAAGGACAATGAGTGCGAGCAAAGAAAGCCGCTTCTGGTATGCGATCAGTGCTAAAAAAACCAACTTAGCACGATTTTGCCAAAGAAGAAGATGAGCTTACGCGATAAGAGATTCTAAGCAGGCATCAACATCTCCTAGTAATAGGCTCGTAGTAAAGTGCACATTATGATGCCCGCTTGCGGCAGAGTCGGCCGCTAACTAAATAAACGTGGACATCAGAAGTTCAACATTTTCGAGGAATATGCTATTCTGCTATTTAACAAATGTTACCAGAAACAAAAGCAAAGGAATGACTAAGCATAAATTTCACAGCTACGTAGCCATTATTGAGAATTCAATTTTGATTTATTGCCAAAAAAATGTATGAAACTGACCAAGATATCAATAGACTCAAATTGTTAACTAATAACTGCGCCTACGGCATACCCACCTTGCTCAAAAGAGGTGCAGAACCAGCACATGTGGCTAACAGTAGCAGCCCACCATAATCCCTTGCGCGGCCAAGACACTCGCCAGCGAGCATAAGCTCAGATTTCAAGGTAGCAGCCTAAGCAAGAATGTTTTAAAAACCGTCTCAAAAGTGGGATCGGTAATACCTGACTAAGCATCTTCCATTTTTCCTCGCTGTCACCTTGCAATGCAAGGTCATATGCAGTCTTCAAGTCCCCAAGTGCAAGAGCAAGATCAAATCTAGAAAGAGTTGAGAAATGAAAGTACATTTTAGGTTGGTGCTATGCGCAGAATCAAAAAAATTAGGATTATTATGCGAGTGTTCTCACTTGTGATCTGGATCCTGAGATACAGCAAGAGCTTGTCGTTTGAACCCTTGTTTCTCAAGGAAGTGAGCCACCCGAGTACGCTGCTCCTTCGGAATTGTGGCGAGCACCTCAAAACAAATTCCAAGGTTAACCGAGGCGAGCTAACGCCAGCCAACCAGTTGCGAAATGAAAAGCAAACCTTGTCAGCAGTCTCAAAATCTCTTCTCATAACAGCAGTCTGGTACTCCAAAACAGAGAGAAGCAACTTGTAAGACACTACATTCAACTCTTTGTCTACGGCATATACACGTGATTCCTTAGCCATGTACCCTAGCTAAAAATGGAATTTAGTGAGAACTGTTGCCGAATTTAATGAAAGAACGTACCAAATAAAGAGGTCTGTCCATATGTGCAATTGTTACAATCTCTCCTCCCACATAATAGTTGAGCCTGTTCAAAGCTGTGGTGAACACGAAACAATCACCGATCCAAAATGCAGTTTTGACGATTTCTGATTGTTCTCCTAGAAAAGGTTTGTTCAGAAATGTTATAGCAACTTAAGTTCGAGAGCAATACTACCCAAAATTCCTATAAGCTGCTCTTTTCTTCTAGCAAAACATACCTATGACTTCAAAAGTATCCTCAACTCCATCTTCTGTGATTTCTTCGGGTGATGCGTTCGCAAATGTATCTGGATTATACTTGAGCACGTAGAAAGAATCTTCACCGCAAATGGCAACCTTGAAATGGAAAGCAATCTAGACAGAAAAATGCATCGCGCTAAATGCTAACCATTTCTCCACTATCGCTCCAGTAAACGTGTTTGGCCGCGATCTCTATTCTTCGAACCATTTGAGCAGTCTCCCAATCATAGAAACACAAGCTGGTGGCTGATCGAGCAGCAAGCAAAGGTCCACCATCGATACCGTCCATGACAACATCAGTACGAATTTGTTTATAGTCCTGAAAAAAAAACTGAAGAACACATCAAGTGTATCTTGTCACAACCTTGAAATTCTTCTTGATCTTCATTGAAGTTGTCGACTCGCGCACGGCGAACATGTTTGGATCCGTCCCCCAAACAAATTCGAGAGCCTGGAAAATAGTAATATAATATAACAAATAACTGTAAGATTAGACTTGAGACAACATAGTCAAACGCAGTTGTCTTAGAAATGCTGAGGTGAGCGAAAACCTTTTTTACGAGTTAGAAAAATTGCAAGCCACCACGTGAAGTTGATGTAGAAGATGAAAGGTATCTGTGCAAAACTTTGGAAAAACTGGACCACTTCTGGCTTCATTTTATGTGCGACAAAGGAATCGCAAAGTTTTGTCAGCGCTTCAATATTGAGCCTTTAGATTTAAACGTGAAAAGGAATTTATGAAGCAAAAGATAACCGCAAAAGTCAAACTAAACATTTAATCGATAGCAAGAGCCGCTGTTTCTCAACAAAGCATGTCATTACGGTGGTCCGGTCCACAGATCACCAAAGTGGTTTTTTAACATACCTGGCCAAAATCTTTGTTACGAAGGGCCATGGCTGTATAAACAATATATTCGCCATCACCGCAAGCAACCACAAATCGTCCATTTGAAGAATGAGCAAGAGTTTGTGGATAGATCTCACAAGCTCCAAGGTCTTTGACAGAGAGAGGAAGTCGTTCGCCATCTTCAAATAACGGATCGATAGTGCAGCGTTTCAATGATTTCTTTTGTCGACTCACCCTGAATCGCCTCTGAAGCCTCAGCATCAAGAGTTTTGAGATTCGCTTGCTGAATTTCGGAATGTCGCGCCCACAGAATTTTGCCGGTGTGATCCATACTGACCTAAAAAGTCATAATTTAGGATAAAGCAAATTGCGACATGAGATTGAGTGTAAGAGAAAATACCGCTGGTTCTTCTCTTCCCAGCTTCAAGGTGACAGATCCTTCGTCATAGCCGATAGCTACTGTATTGGAGCCACGCTGTGCTTGAATACACCATACTCGTTCCAAACCATAATTCAAAGTTGTTTCGAGTCTGGAAGAAAACCAACTTATGATGCGGGATTATGAACAGATGACATTGGTCATCCAAAAATCTTATCTTCCTATCATTTCCAACCAATAGATATCCAATACTTACCTATATGTGCTAACATGCCATAAACGAACAGTGGAATCTTCACTACCTGGAAAACAACGAAAACTGTTATGAGCTACGATTCGATTTACCTAAAACATACCCGTAATGATAAGTGGAAGTTCTGGATGGAAACATACAGATGAAACATTTTGCGCATGCCCATCAAGAGTTTGAACACAAGTTTTGTTCTAGAAGACGTAACAGATCTTTACATGATACAAAACGAAGACATCCCCCACTGACTAACCTGATAATCCCAAATTTTGACAAGATGATCATCTGCACCAGAGATCAGATATGGCTTATCACCTCCATGGTAATAATCAACGCAGTTCACCTAATACAACAGGAACATTGCATAAAAATGAATTAGAATGACTTTTTTGGATCTAGAGGTTCCCCATAGCCTCTAAATGATAACCCAACCTAGAGAAATAGAGTTCTAAGTATATTTCAAAAAGCTTCAGGGACATGTGTTGCATCATTTCATCCTCATTTCAATATCGGCACGCGAAAAACTTACTCCTTTGTCATGTCCTTCCAAGGTGAAATTGGGCTGCTGACTACCAAATTGCCAAACCTGTAAAGTCAATTAAGTAACTAATATCGATTACTGCTGCACTACTGTTGGAAAGACTCCAATATACTGATTGCAATAAAACAAACCTTGACTGTTTTATCTAATGAAGCAGTAGCAAAAGTGTTGTTATCTTTCGGATTAATCGCAACTTGCATGACATAGTGAGTGTGACCTATAAGAAACGGGAGGCACTTACAAATTTGATCACAATTAGTCACTCACCTTCAAACGTTTGCTTCATTTGCCATTTATTATCCCAGTCCCATAATTTGATCATCATATCGTCACTTGAAGTAATTATGAAGGATTGAGTAGGATGAACAACAATAGATCTGCAAAACTGAAGGATTTCTACGTGATTCCGAGCTTTCGAGTTAGAGCTGTTATCTTGCAGCGACTATTACATGTGAAGAAATTTATAAATTTGCACATATACCAGAATGTGGCTAATAAGTTGCAGAGGATAACAAATTATACTTGAAAACATGCAAAATTCAAGAGCCAAAATTTATGTAGCATACTGTGTATTACACAGCCACACCCACCTGAGGTAGTCGGAGTGGGCCTCAAATTGGTGAACTCTTTCCAAAGTGTTGTAGTTGAAGACTCTGACATGCATATCATCTGAACCGGTTACAATCCAACTTTTTCGAGGAATGAACTTGGCAGCACGTACAGGTAGATCACATACCTGGAAATGAGCAAATTTATGGGATTTGGCAATGGAAGAGAAGATACGAAGAATTTGTAATGGTATAGGAGAAATAATTATGAGCTTCCCACTAGAAATTCGATGTCCAAAAACTTGCTGGCCACAACTAGACACTTTGAGCAATATTTAGCAAAGTGACGACAAGCAGTTTCATCTGCCAAAAACTGATCAGTGGAACTGATCAGCGCAGATAGATTATTCGGGAGAACGTCAAAAAGTGTGATTCCTATCGCCAGATGGGCAAATATCATATTTTTTATTACGTTCTCTTAGCATTTTAAATTGAGCAGGAGATATGTAAATAGTTGAATGGGCTGTTCGAATTGATCCTCTTAATTCGATTAAGACAAAAATGTGAGGAGTCAAAAACCAATGGAACTGCGATTCGAAATATTCTAATCAATCAATTCCTTCAGCAAATCGCCAAACTCGGCAAGCAGCGATCTCGAATAACTAGTAAGCCCATTATCTGATATTTTTGAGGACCATAGCTCTGAAGCATGTGCTGGTGGTAGCCGGAGAAATCGCGTCTCTTGACCGTTTCCCAGATTTATCGCCGTATGCAAATCAAATTTTGATTTGATACACACGGTAATTCGGGAAAAACACAATAGATGTCAAGAAACCCACTTCGAAAGATTTTACGAGCTGCTGACTCTCGTAATTCCATATGTGAACATTCCCATTGTAAAGAGCTGCCAGCAGCCACGGTTCTGTGGGATGAAGATCCACACATTTTACGCGATCTGATCGTGCCAAAAGCTTTCTCTTTACGTCCAACCGCAACGGCATCCCTGCAATATAGAACATCAAGAAAGAAGAAGAGAAGCGAATGACGTGGAGACAAAAATAGGGAAATCGCGGATGACGGTCATTTAGCAAAACAGTCATAACCACCAAGTCTTCAAATTCATCTCAAAAACAATAATTCTCTTATATTTGCAAGCTCAAAAACTCTTTTCAACAGGACAACAATGCAATTTACCTACGGAATCGATCACATTTAGCAAGAGGCATGAACAAATTCGCCAACTCAATGTCTGTAACAGCGCAGTCGTGGCACCCAAACATGCACAACCCTGCATCTACCGCAGGACATATCACAACTTCGATAATCGGGCTAAAAATTTTGCGTGAATACGTCTTCACGACTTGCCTATTCGGCCTCGTAGCATCCTTTGACGCTAATAACCATGCTATTTTTATACTAAGTATAGAACTCTTATGGACGGAAGCGTCATCAGTGGCCTTTGGCTCCACTGCAAGCGCAAAAAATCCGGAGGATGTGCTTACAAGAGAAGTGCCAGAAGTCGCAGTGGCCTTTCGACATGAGATAGGTACGACTAAAGCAGCTTGGAACGCTGATCCAAAACAGCCTCCCTTGGCTGCGGAACGAACCTGGGTCGAAAATCACGAAATCAAATTTTGCGGGAAATTTACAACGCTGAGAGTAGCCAAACTACCGAAGCTCTTGTATTTTGGCTTTCACATAAGTGAAACATTTTATTACTGCTTGATGTGATTAACTCCTCCTTCAACTTTATGCAACAGTGCTTACAAGCAACCGAAGCATTTCCATGAGCAAAGGTTGCTGAAGACAATGTGAATTTTTGTGATTAATAGCCATAATTTCCGTACCATACCCGTTCTACAGTAAAGGCAGTGTCCAGGCAAATCTGAGCATATGAGTTTTTTGCCCGAAAACTGTCGAGGGGGTCCTAGTTAAGGCATTGCCCAAACGCCAGCGCAAATCATTGATTCACGGCTGAAAAATCCATCCCCAAACATTCCGCGGCTGCGCCGTGACCGTACTTAGGATGGGGTCCCAGCGCGAACGTAGTGTTAAAGTGAGCGAAGTCGTTTTCGGGTTACGGTCACGGCGCAAGCGCGGGATTTTCGGGACGAATTTCTCAGCTGTGCATGAACTATTTGCGCTACCCCTTGGGCAGTGCCTTAGTTAGAACCCCTCATCAATTTCCAGGCGAAAATTCCATGCGCCCAGATTTGCCTGGACACCGTCTTTAAAGGCAGTGGGTCGGCAGAATGAGACCCGTGGCACAACAAGGTCACAGGGTAGGAGCCTCCATAATGAAACCTATGGGCAAAGTTCGTCTTTCTCTGCCACTCCTAACCCCCGAAATTTCAAAGCGAAAGCTGCGCTTATCTCCTGTCCTCTCCGAACCCGCCCACCCCATGGACGAGAGACTTCCACGGTCAGAGCGTGCAGCCGCAATGCTATAAGCATGGGATCCCGCAGCGACTCTGCGTTTTCGCCATGAGGGGCTTCGCGTACTCGTCCTTGGGGGGGGGGGGGCGGGGTCGGAGAGGAGAAGAGATGAGCGCTGCTTTCGTTTTGAAATTTCGGGGGTTAGGAGTGGCAGAGAAAGATCGAACTTTGGCCCATAGGTTCCATTATGGGGGCTCCTACCCTGTGACCTTGTTTTGCCACGGGTCTCAATCTGCCGACCCACTGCCTTTAATGGTCCTCTTAGCTTCCCATACGAAAAAGTTACAAGCTTTTTTGTAAGTGCATATAGCGGGGACTTTGGTAGGAAAAACGACGTGTGGACGGCTTTATTCAAAGGAGCTGCAAAAATATGAACAGCTTTTAGGAAACAACAAAAGCAAGTTTGAACACCTTTTTTCAACTTGTTAACTAACTAGCGACCCTGCGGGTCGCTATAAGTGGATCGAAGCAAAAGTTGTTCAGAAAGTTTGTGCATCTCAATGACACCTTCCTGCATTTTATTTTACTTGAAAAAAATTTTCGCCGAATCATTGAATTTGCTCCAAGGTAGACTCCCCATCGGGTGGAAGCATCTGAAAAAGTTTTCTGGACTGATACTCTACCATGACCTTTGAGCCTTTTCATTTTGCGGAACTCGTCAATAACTCGCTTTTCTACAAGTATAGGTGAGGTTTCCTCATGAAAACGTCTACAAAGCAGATTTTTGATGAGATATTGGAAAGTCTGTGGAATAAACGCACTTCCTGAAAAGGTTCCTCTCGCTCGAAAGCATGGTCTCCCTCAATGAGATCCTCACTCACACGCTTCGCTTTCAACAAGAAAGAACAGAATTTCCTCAACACGCGCTCTCAGGACAATTTTCTTTGAGGATTTTGCGATACGGTGACACCAAGTCACCCTCAGTAGTGAACCCTCTGAAAAGTCAGCCGCCATCGAACAACGAGACCCTGTTACTCTTATGTTTTCCTTACACAAATTTTTTTTAGATAAATGCCCTTCAATCATCGATCACATTTTGCCATTTGAAAAAGTTACCCGCTATAATCTTTTATGAAAAAGCGTTGGCTCCACCAGCCAGACCAATCGTCAAGTTCTCGTTGATGCAAAATAGAAAGATCTTTCGAATGAACGCTCATCTCCACCAGCGAGACCCAGTTACTTGAATGCTTTACTTTCTTCGTAGAGAAGCAGATTTTTCTAGATAGGCGCTCGTTTCCAACCGCCTTTCCTACAGGATAATAGATGCTTTACCTAGCAGAAGCTCACTTTCACCAGCTCGCCAGCCAGACCCACTACTCAAGCGTATAACCCCAATCAAAAGCATTTTCAACAGGAGACACAGTTACCGCTAGTGGGATTTCCTCAGACAGAAACACATTGTCACCAGCGGAACCTAGTTACCTAAAAGCTTTCTCTTCCACATGGAAGACCATTACCTGAGTAAAAGCTTTCCTCTTTCTTTCACGAGACCCACCAGAAACCAAACCAGTTCCCAAAACGTTGAATTTCCACAAGTGAACCCTTTCCTCCACCAGCGAGACCCAGTTACCTAAAGCACCGCTTTTCTCCACCAACAAGACGCGTCATTCAAGCGTTGGATTTTTCCATCAGCGAGACCCAGTTACCTAAAGTATGGAATTTCGCCGAGTAAACGCCTTCTTCCACCAGCGAGACCCACTTATTTAAAGGCAGCGTCCAGGCAAGATCCATCCACCCAGATTATCACATAGTTGTAAAGAGGGGCCCATGAGTATCCGATCTGCGTTGGTCCAATCCTTTGACGTGCCCTCTAAAAGGAGATACGGGCCTGTGATACGTATCACAAGCCGCCCCTTCGTATCACAAACCACTCCTGCGGACGAGTGCTTACGCATGGGCGCGGTTGCATTGCTGTTGCATTGCAGTTGCACTGCACACTGCAATGCAACTGCATCCGTGCAGTTGCAGCTCCTCCCGCTGTTGACGATGAGAACGAGCAATTCGCAATTCGAAACTCGTCAAACACCCTTTGAAGAGAGGGTCCTCCAGAACCGGTTTTTTGGGAGTTTTGAACAATTTCGATTTTACAGCTGTAATCAGGGCCACGGAAAGGCCCCAGAATGGCAGAAACATGAGAGGCGAAATTTTGCCCGGACGCTGCCTTTAAGCGTTGGGTTTTCCCAGATGAAAGCTCATCTCCACCAGCGAGACCCGTTACCTAAAGCATTGAATTTCGCCGAGTAAACGCTTTCCTCCACCAGCGAGACCCATATACCCGAAGCGTTGAATCCCCAATTAAACGCTTTCCCCCACCATCGAGAGCATTTACTGAAGCGTTGGATTTCCAACAGTGGAAGCTCACCTCCCCGAGTGAGATCGTTACCCGAAGCGCCGCTTTCCTCCACCAGCGAGACCCAATTACCGCGTTGGATCCCCAAGTAAACGCTTTCCTCCACCATCGAGAGTACATACTGAAGCGTTGGATTTCCCCAAGTGGAAGCTCATCGCCATCAGCGAGACCCAGTAACCCAAAGCGTTGAATTTCGCCGAGTAAACGCTTTCTTTCACCAGCAGACCCAGTTATTTGAAAGTTGGGTTTTCCCAGATGAAAGCTCATCTCCACCAGCGAGACCGTTACCCAAAGTATTGAATTTGCCGAGTAAACTTCGTCCACCATCAAGAGAACTTACTGAAACGTTGGATGTTACCCGAAGCGCCGCTTTCCTCCACCAACGAGAGTTAATTACTCAAGCGTTGGATTTCCCTAAGTAGAAGCTCACCAGCGAGACCCAGTAAAATACCCAAAGCGGGATTTTCTCAAGTAAACGCTTATCTCTATCAGCGACCAGTTACTCAAGCGTTGAGTCTCAAGCAGAGCAAAAAAACCTTCACCAACGAGACCCAGACTCAAGCCTTTCTTTAAGTAAACGCTCGTCTCCACCAGCAAAATCCAGTTACTTATGCTTTTTTTCTAAACAACGGGAATATTTTCATAAATATATACTCGTGTCCACCAGCGATACCCAATTACTCGAGCACTTTCAATTCTGGAAGCAGAAGCAAGATTAGCCTGAGATAAAACCTCGCCCCCACCAGCGACACCCAATTACACAAATTAAGCTTTCTACAAGTCCATCAGATAACATTTTTGATCAAAATTTCCGACATTATCCGCGGTGCGTAGTTGTCTAAGTGTTTTTTCTTCTGAGGCGTCGTCTCTGACAAGAGAACGCAGTTTCACGCTTTTCGGAATACGACAAAAGTTAGATTTGCTCAAAAGCTTGGAAAAGCAAAATTTCCATAAAATTCGCAGTCTTTCTTAAACATGCTCCGAAAAGCATCAGGTTTTGGCTCTACCATGAGACCCACTTAATCTGTGCGATATAGTTTTTGTGAAAGCAGAGAAAAACGAAACAAAAAAAAAACGATAAATAAACGTAAACGCACAAAGGCAGAAACATAAACTGGAAATGTTGAAAATCTTTACCACCTGCAAGCAAAAGATTTTAGTAGATAAAACCTACGCAAGACGATGCGGCAACGACCTTGCACGAGGCGACTTTTCATGATAATGGCGACATAGTATACTGAACCTCGACCGGGGGGAGCACTTGCCTCGTTATTTTATGGATGTTGCTCAAGGATCGCTTATGTAATCATGTGACTTATGCAAAAACATCGTCTTGAGACTGTTGATATGCCACTCGTGATGGTCTGTTTACAGTCTGGAATTTGTCCTTAGGCGACAGCTATGCGCGAAAAAAATTCGAGACGGTTCGGTACAAATGAAAACATGTCTCATATATTGGAATACACAAGGGGCGTGTCCGCATATCGTCTGGCTTCTCCTCGTCTACC